ACGGGGAACGTCAGCACCCTCCACCAATTTAAAAAGAGTTTATTGGCGACTGTTGCGACGGTGGTCCTACGACGAAACACGATCGGGCAAGAGCAACGGTCAAGCAGATGCCGGCGATGATCAGCACGAGCCGAGCGAGCGAAGCCCAGCACCCAGTACCCAAGCGGTGGCGATGTTGCTTGCCAACGATGCGTTTTCTTCTTCGCAATATATATATATGTATATATATTATAAAGAAGATTTATTAAGCAGAAAGGTTGGTGCTTGGAAGGCTTGGAAGGCGATGCACCAGCCGCAATTTCCGAGCTCGAGCCGCTGCTGCACACTCGATGCTGCTGCCCCTGCGCCGGAGTACTTCCTCTTCTTTACAATGGCCCCACGGAGAAAAAAGGAGCCATCCTGGCGACTTAGTCCTGTGCAGGCGGCGTTGAACCGTGGTATTGCTTGAGCCTCTGTACGTGTACAACCTCGCGGTTGCGACGTCGCAAGTCTGATGGTGGCGTAAGAGGCTCAATGAGGTAGTTTACTGGCGAAGTTTGTTCGACAATACGATATGGCCCATCGTACTTTGGCAGAAGTTTGGAAGAGAGCCCAGGTGTGCGATGCGGCACTGACAGCCATACAAGAGAACCCGGAAGAAAAACGGGAGTTGAGGTCTGGGCATCACGAATTGCTTTTTGCCTGTTTTGGTCATCGCAGGTAAAGCGACGAGCTAACTGGCGGCATTCTTCTGCATGTCTGGCGGCGTCCAAGATCGGTAGGCACTCGGACGCGTCTGGTCGATAGGGCAAAACGGTGTCAATGGTGTGGGAGGGGTGACGGCCGTAGAGGAGGTAAAAAGGGGAGAAGCCTGTTGTCGCTTGCGTTGCCGTATTGTAGGCGTATGTAATGAATGGGAGAACTAAGTCCCAGTTAGAGTGGTCAGGCGTCACATACATAGATAGCATGTCACCGAGAGTACGATTAAAGCGCTCGGTAGCCCCATTGGTTTGTGGGTGGTAAGCGGTACATGTGCGATGTACAATAGCACACTCAGCGAGCAATTTTTCAATGACCTCGGACAAGAAGGCGCGGCCGCGGTCACTGAGGAGTTCTTGAGGGCCTCCATGACGCAACACAAAATGACGCAGTAGGAAAGTGGCAACCTCCTGTGCTGTAGCCGTTTTAAGAGCAGCGGTCTCAGCATAGCGCGTTAGGTGGTCGATAGCAACTATTATCCACCTGTTGCCAGTCGGAGTCAATGAAAGTGGCCCATAAATATCTATTCCAACCCGTTCGAAGGGTCGGGAAGGGCATGGTAAAGGCTGCAGTTCACCGGCGGAGGTGTGTGGTGGAGATTTTCGGCGCTGACATTCGGCACAAGAGCGGACGAAGTTGCGAACGAAGGTATACATGCCACGCCAGTAGTAGCGATGTCGAAGCCTTTCGTAGGTCTTGAAGACTCCTGCGTGGCCACATTGTGGGTCAGCGTGAAAAGAGGAACAAATCTGCGACCTCAGGGTTCGTGGAACGACGAGCAGCCACTTGCGTCCCTCTGGTGCGTAGTTACGTCGATAGAGAAGCGTGTCACGTATCGAGAAGTGTGGAACTTGGCGCCGAAGCGTTCGCGTCTTTGGGAGTTCAGAAGTGTCGGAGAGATGATTGAGGAGAGACGCAGTCCACGGGTCATTGCGTTGTTCGATAGCAATGGTGTCAAAGTCAAGCGATGACAATGTGGAATCGCAAGCGGAGTCAGCTGTGGCATTCTGGGACAGGGGGGAACGAGAAAGGGCGTCGGCGTCAGCATGCTTCCGTCCTGACCGATAAACCACGCGTATGTCGTAATCTTGAATTTTCAACGCCCAGCGAGCGAGACGGCCAGATGGGTCTTTTAACGTCGAAAGCCAGCACAGCGCGTGGTGGTCGGTCACGACGTCAAAAGAACGACCATATAGATATGGGCGAAACTTTCCAAGGGCCCACACAATGGCCAAGCACTCCTTTTCTGTGACGCTGTAGTTGCTCTCAGCCTTGGTAAGTGTGCGACTAGCGTATGCCACGACGTATTCCTGATGTTCCGGTTTACGCTGTGCGAGCACAGCACCCAGGCCTACACCACTGGCGTCGGTGTGGATTTCAGTTGGTGCTTCAGGATCGAAATGGCGTAGAATTGGTGGCGTCGTAAGAAGCCGTCGCAGGGTGTTGAAAGCCTCGTCGCAGGCAGGGGACCACGATAAGAGGTCTTTACAGCTGCTGAGATGTTGCGTGAGAGGTGATATAATAGACGCGAAGTTTCGGACGAATCGCCGGAAATACGAACACAAGCCGATGAAACTTCGAAGTTCTTTGATGGTGGCAGGTTTAGGAAACGCCGTAACAGCTCGCAATTTCCCGGGATCCGGGAGGATGCCTTCCTTGGAAACAACGTGGCCCAAAATGTTCAGTTGACGCATGGCAAATCGACATTTTTTGAGGTTTAATTGCAAACCGGCGTTAGTTAAGCAAGTAAGGACGTGCTGAAGGCGACGTAAGTGTGTGTCAAAGTTAGGGGCGAAGACCACGATATCATCGAGGTAACACAAGCATATCTTCCATTTTAGTCCACGCAGGATGTTGTCCATCATTCGTTCGAACGTTGCAGGTGCATTGCAAAGTCCGAAGGGCATGACGGTGAATTCATATAAGCCATCTGGCGTGACAAAAGCGGTTTTGGGGCGATCGGCCTCCGCCATAGGCACCTGCCAGTAGCCTGACCGCAAGTCTAACGAGGAAAAGAACTCGGCACCCTGCAAACTGTCCAACGCATCGTCAATGCGCGGTAGTGGATAGACATCCTTCAGCGTGATCTTGTTCAATCGCCGGAAATCGACACAGAAACGAATAGAACCGTCTTTCTTTTTGACGAGAACCACCGGAGACGCCCATGGGCTCTGTGAAGGTCGAATGACGCCTCTGCGAAGCATGTCGTCTACTTGGTCAGCATTGACGCGGCGTTCTGTAGCGGACACGCGATATGGTCGTTGTCGCAGCGGTGAGTGGGACCCAGTGTCGATGTGGTGTTCTACTGCTAAGGCACGGCCGAGAGATGTTTGTTCAACGTCGAAAGAGTGGCGGTAGCTCTCAAGAATGGTGAGGAGTTGTGAACGCTGCGAAGATGTCAAATCTGCAGCGATGAATGGTTGAAATATGTTCGCCGACGTTGAGTCAGGCGCTGAGACGACAGCCAGTTCACAGACGGAGGTAGAAGGCACCTCATCGGGGACGGATATAATTCCGGAAGAACTGATTGTCTCGACGTGGCCAAGGCACTCGCGACAAAGTAGAGATGAAGACGGCGACTCATGATTATAAATTGGCATTGTGGTTGACCCTTCTACAAGATCGAGAGCAGCAAAAGGCAGGGGGAGAGCTCTTCGGGCGACGAATATTGGAGATGGTGTGAAGAAGACCGTGCCGTCGGATATGGCGCTGCATGAAACTGGCACGAACGCAAAAGAGCATGGAGGGATGTAGGTGTCATCGCTAACGACAAGTTTAGCGGCAAACTGGGTGTCGACGGACGCTTGGTCATCCAGTGAGCAAAATTCGACCTCAGCCCTAGCACAGTCGATTACGGCGTTATGACGCGACAAAAAGTCCCATCCCAAAATAATATTATGGGAGCATGATGAAAGAACAACGAACTCTATCGTATACAGAACGTCCTGAATTGTCACGCGGGCTGTACATACTGCGGTCGGTTGAACAGGTTGAGCACTGGCTGTGCGAAGCGATAATCCGGAGAAAGGCGTCGTAACCTTACGAATTTAGTGGCAAAATCCAGCATCTATTACCGAAACAGCTGCACCGGTATCTACAAGAGCGAAAGTAGGGATATTTTCGACGAACACATCAATAACATTGGTAGGTGACAATCTTCTTTACAATATATATATATATATATATATATATATATATATATATATATATATATATATATATATATATATATATATATATATATATATATATATATATATTTATATATGTGTGTGATCTAACGGACAATGATGCCAAGAAGTGTATAGGGGAAGTTATTACAACCAATGTAAAGTAAAAGAAAAATAGGTGCAAAATAGCTTGCCGTGAGCACAATTCCTGCTCACGGCAAGCTATTTTTTTCACACAATTTTCTTTCTTTTTATATACATTACAGTGGTTCTACTAACTTCCCCTATATATTCCTTGGCATTAATGTCCGTTAGATCTCTATAATATTGTGTCAAAAACACGGAAAACCGAGCCGTTAAGTATACACTTCTTTGCCATATATATATATATATATATATAATTTCAAAAAATGTTTCAGTAGGAATGATTTTTAACGTAACAAAATAATTGAATTGAGAAAAAGCTAAGCATATTGCATAAGTTTAAAAATCTAAATACACCAAAGATGGGAAGACGTAACACGCGCTCTTGACCTTTATTAGACCCTTTCCACTCTATTCGTCCTATAGAAGCGCGCAACAACGGGGACTGCCCGTCTCGGGCACAAGTGAGTGGCTACTACTGATAACTGCTCCAGAGCATAACATTTCGAAAGAGTCACAAGATATCTCTTCATATTATTGCAGCGTTCAAACCGGTTGAATCCACTCCTGAGAAGAGTTGAGCCAAGCGTGCTGGACACGCAAGTGCTCTCGTGGCGTGGCCACGATAAGCAGCCTCCGTTCTTTCTTTTCAAACGCGAAGTCGAAGATCGTCGCTTGGAGGAGAGGAACCGCTTGGATTCGTTACCACGTATCTAGCCCACGACGATTTTAGAGAAAGAATACCACTCACGCTTTGTGTTGTCGTCGGCGTGAGAGACGGAGAGAGAATGGTCCCCGCGATGAAACGGGATACTCTAAGCGTCTTCCCACTCCCCATTGTTGGGTGGAGGGAGTTTCAGAGTGCAAAGAAAAGAGGTATCAATTACACATTGCGGAGAGAGCATGCAGCGAGGCGAAAAGGCCCATTGTCAGTAAAACTGCAATCGCCTGCACTCTGCAAAGTGCTGCAAGGAACGGAGACAGCGTGCACCGAAAGCATTGAAGAATGCGAACGAAAACTTGGACTCCGGTAAGCGTCCCATACACTGCACATTCCTGTTGTCATGCGCTGTCTCATTGTGCGTGCTTCTATGAAAGGTTGCTTGCAAGGAATGATAATATTATAGTAAGGTAATCAATTACACAGATAGATGAGATATTAGGCGAGTAGTTATCGCCAGAGGACTCATTAGCCGTTGCTTTCAAAGACACGCGAGTAACCATATGCTTTGAAGCGTTTTTCAGGGTGTAGTAAAGATTTATTCATTACAACTCGCGGGGAATTAGCTATTTTAGCTTGGGCTGTTACCATGTCTATTGTGTGAGACTCGAACAAACAATGTTAATGCTGGTATATATGTGCAAAAAAGCCAAAATTGTGTTGGAAGTTACAATAAAAAAGTACTTCGTTCAAAACACCTTCTAATTTGGTGACTTGAGTGAGTGAAGGCGCACAAAAACGGTAGTCAGATCTTGCGAATAAGATCTTTTAAAATTGATCCGACGATTTCTGCTGCAGACTCACTTTATTGCCAAGTACGGTGGCGTTTCGGGAGGTTTATTAGCAATACGGTTCACCAGAAGGAAGTTGGCGGTCCACGAATTTAGACAGAGGTGTTAGAGCGTTGGCTCATGAGCGTCAAGTCCCAGCTGTACAGTGCGCTCACCCGTTCATTGAGCTGAAGTCAATCCTCGACATCTTTGTTGTCAGTGCCGGAAAAGGTGCCCGAGTCGCGTGGTTGTGTCAGGACGATGAGGCGATTAGAAGCGGCGCTGCGACCCGACAGGCCTGGTGGGTGGTGGCATCATTGGGGACGTTTTTGATGCATCCTCGTATTCGTCTTGACCAGACATAGCAGAGGCCGCCAAGGAGCGTCCGCTACGGAGAACCGTCGTGAAGGTGAAAGCTGGGAGAACCCGCACTCCTAACCAAAATGTTACGGGTAGAAAAGGCGTCACAGAGTATGTTTACAAAGTCTGTATGAACCCCTAACGCCAGACAAACAAGGTACCTACTCAGTACCATGCTTACTCAGGCCTCTGGCGCCTCCACAATGGTTAACCATTGAAAATAAAGCTGCCTACAGCCGACGCAGTGAGTGCCTGGGGTTGTCTGTAGGTAAGTTTTCTGCAACTGCAAACTGCAGTATTAATGACTCGACTCATTTCAGGCCAGAAACCGCGATCACGCGGCCTGGACTTACACTTCGTGGTGCTTAGACACTCTTGGTGCATTCTGTATATGCGAAGTATCTTATGTTCGAGCTCAATCCTTTGTGCAGGGTGATCACCATTACTGTGTATGCGCCCCCCCCCCTCTCTACTCTCCTACGCTCCCCCGTTCTGTCCTCTAGGCATCTCCCCTGTGACTTTTACACCTCCATCGGGGATACGCTCGCTCAACCCTCTCTCTCTACTAGGCTTCCCTAACTGCGGCGTTTATAACCCCTTTGCGCCTGCGCGCCCCTTCCCCTCCTGTTTTACGCTCACCTCCTCACGCCTCGCAATGCTGTCGTAAGCAGTGCCTGCTAGCCTACACAATGATGTAAGAATAATCAGGTGTTGATACTGAGCGTGCCTGAGCGGCCAGATAATGTTTCGTCTCGCGGGCACGCTGTCCTGCGAGCCGTCAGACAGCGCCGTGGCCAACGTGCCCAGAGAGTTGTGCTGGTGCATTTAAATTCATCTGCCTCTACAAACTTTCGTTTCAAGCGGTGTGAGTAACACTTAAAGGGGCACTCTAACGCTTGAAAACATTGGTGATGACTGCATAACTCATTAAGGCACTCGCCAGAACTACTGCGAGCGGAAATGACGTCTGTAGGTTGCTGCCGTATGATTGCATAAATGTAACGTTAAATGTGATCACGGCATTGCATCAAATTAGGGATTACTATTGAATTTATTTTTCATTAGCATTATTTCTTACTCAAAGCGACAGAGAAGAAAGCTCTCCAACTTGTCCACCTTGAAAACTGCAAAGCTGGTCAAAGAATGCGCCGAATGCCATGTCCTGGAGGAAACGCGCCGGCGACGCTCCGGGCGCCGTGATTTGAAGAATCTAAAAGGAAGAAAATAGAAGAGCGATGATATAAATGTATATGTCACTGCAAAAAGAAAGACCAGTAAAGCTACAAAACATTATACAAGCGTTCGCGAGCTTGCCCGTTTCACACGCGTCGTTCCCTCTTCAAGTACCACATTGTTTGTTACCATTGCAACGGCGTACTTATTACGCTGGACGCAAAGGCAATATATCATGCTAGCTTTCTGTACGGTAGGGATTTCAGTTGATTTCATTGGGCAGTCTTTCGACGTCAGAGGGCGAGGGAAATACGGTAAGATGAGCCCACCAAAATCGAGTTGAAGGTAAACATCCATTTCATTGTATTTTGATATCTCTGCGCTGATTGATTGATTTGTGGGGTTTAACGTCCCGAAACCACCATTTGATTATGAGAGACGCCGTAGTGAAGAGCTCCGGAAATTATCTCTGCGCTGCTTAACTTTGCTTTACGTGGCGCCATCGCTTCCGTTCTTGCGGCACTTATCTCCTAAACCATCAGTGTACACAACAAGCTAGAAAAACATGTAAAACTATGAAGTCGTAAAAAGTGTCAGAGGGCTCCTTTAAAGCACGAAGAAAATTTGTTGTTTCAGGTTAAAAGGTAAAACTCGATCAGGTCTAAAAATTCATTAACGCAAAAATGATTTGCAGAGGGTGAGAACGTCGTCGACAAAGATAGTTCCGCTCACGCGCACTTGTATTTTCATCTGTTCGTGGTACCGCTCGATGCAAAGAAACACAATTAAAAACCTCAGCGAGCATGCTATTTTTCCATCAAAATACTTACCCGTGTAGAAAAAATGCAAGGAACTTCAACGTGCTTAGATATAGGTGCATGTTAAACAGCCCGAGATGGTCATAATTAGACAGGAGCCCTCCCCTATCACGTCCCTCGTAATCAAATCGTGGTTGCGTCGCGTTAGCCCTCAATAATAATAATTACGCTTCTATTAAAATAGAACTGTTACTGCACCATAAACGTATTTCAAACATATGACTGGTTTCATTTACACAGAAAATTGTTAAAGCATTGTTGTGCTTGTCCAATGTGAATGCGATGTAAATAAATATTTGAAACACGCAAGTGTTCCATCTAAAGCACACAGGAGCAAAGCAGTTAATTGAAGAAATAAATGAATATTTGAACCACTCAGTTATTTCGTATACAGCATACTAAAGTAACGTGGTTGTTCATGGTTAGATGTTGCGATGCGAATTCACATAATTATGTCAACGATCACCGTCAGACAATCACTATCAGATGGCACTTTAAAGAGAGGCACACGACACACCGCACACGTCACAAGCCCAACGGAAAATCAGAATAAAACACGTTCTAGCCATTCTGAGAACCTTCCAGCAATTCGGTGTCACCTTCGTCGATAGAATAGTAATAAAGATCGGTGAACAAAAAGCCTGGCTTCAAAACAGCGCGATCGCACTTGCCACAAAAAGTTCCAGAATCAGCAGCATTCACGTTTTTGCCGAGCGGGTTGTCGAGAGCGAGATGGCTGACCCCGCTCGTCGTAGCGCCATCTAAGAAGGCCCTGATGAAGCCGAGAGATAACTGATAACGGCCCAAACATTATCTAGAGGCGTTGGGACAGCGCTTTTCAACGCGTTGCGGGGAGAGTGTCAGAACTTGTGTATACCTACACTATTGTCTACGCTCACTCCGCCTTTCTCTCTGCAGGGTATCCCTCTCCGAGCGTTTACACCGCCATCGCGCATGTATGCCTTCCTTTCCAACGCTCCCTTCTCTCTTGCCTCGCAACGGCGATGCAGGCAGCGTCGGCTAGGAAGTTTCTAGATTAAAGAAAAACGACTGCTCGTACTTATTTTGCACCACTGTGCTCTGGCCATCCCGTATATGAGGCGTTTTTTTTTTCTAAAAGGGCCTAGTGCACTTTTTCAATGAAACTGAGAAAAACGCAATTTTTTCTGCTGACAAATTGGTTGGGCATGTTCAAGTAACTTTTTGCCGTTATGTTCTTCCTTAAATACTTCAAATCTCTATAGTGGCTAAAATCTACATAGCCGAATGTCGTCAGCATTGTGGAGTAAAGTTTGTACTTGGCTCATATAGATTGAAACTTTTCATTTGGGCATGAACTAGCTCGTAAAATAGGTCTAGAACGGTTCGAATATACAGATTAGAAATATTTTGCGATAGAATTCACATCATACTTGTGCTTCCGTCGGTGCCGTGCTTCGACGCATGGGTGTAACGGTGATCACTAGACATAAACGGCGAGTGTTTCTTCCTAGCTAAAGGCGAACCATTCTGGACTGTCATCAGTGTTTTCTTGTTCCTGGCATCCATTGAAGGCCTTGAAAAGTGTTCGAGCTAGTTTTATGTCATGCCGTTTCTCACCAATTCTTCTTCTTAAGGGAACAGTTAGACGCCCAATATCTTTATTTTATGCCTACTTTATTTCAAATATACCGTGTTGGTGTGAGCGGAGGACAAGATGCTGTAGCGCTAAAGTCAAGAAGAGTCACTAAGATGCTAAAAGAAGTACGCAAGTCAGCCTTTTTTTTATTTACAATCAACTTTCTTCATTTAACATTATGTCCTTCAGTAAGCGCCAACTCGCGCTATGAAACGTAATTGTGGAACGTAAACAGAATAACAAAGTAACTAAGACACAAATGAAACATTTTGGGTGGAACTCTTTAACAAGCTGTTACAGCGCCCACTTTCTCGGATGGGTAAAATGGTGGCTTTGTTCAATTACATTACTGGCAATTCCGGTGAAACTCTTGAGCTGCCAGCATCGACATAGCACAGCCCATGTGCCTTCCCTACTCATCTGTCAATTCGAGGAATACGCAAAAGCTGTGACCAACCTGTTAAGGAACTATATCAATTAGCACAGAGAGAGACAGAGGAAACTTTATTAGAACTTGGCCGGCAGCTTGGTCTTGGTGGCCTCAGATGGCGGCGCTGAGTCCCTGAACTC